AGGGGCAGGCAGGACCTCCTGCCTCCTCTTCCTGGAGTACAGAGAGAATTTTGGCTGGAGTCTGTGACCATGTTGGAGATGCAGTACGCCCACAAAACATCAGCTGCTGCTACTGGGCAGAGGAACAAACACTTTCAGAGCCCAAGGATACCCATTTCCCCCAGCATATGTGAGCTTTAGCTGTACCAACACCCACTCTGAGCCGTGCTGGGAGCCCCTGCTCACATGGGGGGACCATGGGCGAATGAATCCATTGGCAGAAGAGAGCAGGAGTTTGAGACCAGCACAGCCTATGTGCATCTGTGCTTGGCTGCTCTCCTGCACCAGCCACTTCAAAGACCAAGCCCAGAGGGGACCCACAAGGCATAGGAGGACATCCCCTCACATTTTGCAAAGGAAACAGTGGGGAAAAGTCCCATTCCAGCTGTGCTGCACAGAAACAGTCACAGCCAGTTCAGCAGCTCTCCATGTATGTGTCAGGGGGTCCCATTTTGACCCAAACCCAGGCTGGGATGGCTGTGAAGGAGGTGCTAAGGCACAGCAGATGGATGAGCTGCTTGATCAGGTCCTGGGATCTGGTAACATCACCTGAATGAGAGGCAGTTTTAGTTTGCTCCATGACTGGATACCAATAGCTTTTGGAGCTTTCATGTTTTAACAGGGCAGAGCACTTAAAATCCTTAGGAACTGCAGCTGGAGAACTAAAAATCCATAGAAAAATCATTCGTTTGAAGCTCACTGATTTGCTGTGGCCTGTCTCTGAGACATTGCTTCTTTGTCCCTTTGCTTTCTTTCCCCCATATTATGGAGAGAACATTATCCCCTGCAATGCTCCCTGATTCTGAATTTTGGAAAGAAAAAGCCATGTGCAAGGAGAAATGTGGTAAGAGACCCTTGTAGGCAGGGCCACACTTTCAGGTGCCAAAAGGACACCTCCTGCCCTCTACTCTGCCTCCATTCCCCACAGACACAAGGAAAATGAAGGTGAGACACCCAGAAATGATGGGAATGAACCCAACAGTGAAGCAATCCAGGAACACCTGAACTGAGTTGGGCCATTTTGCATGTGAATCCTTCTGGTGTTAGTGCTTATGGGCCCCCCAAGAGCAACTATGGGAAAAAGGGAGAAAACCTGCCCAATTTGCCTCTGGAGCAGGCCTCATGTTCAGAACTGGGTTCCCAGTCAGAGAAGTGTGACGAGAATGGGGTGATGGGAGAGGGAAGTGCAACAGAAATGGTTGGACATTTGACAGCAGCATCCTGAAACTCCAGTCTTGCAACACACAGCTGGTGGATTATAAATTCATAATTTGCATACTTTGAAATATTTTAATGAGCTACTCATATATGGCCATACCTGCTGCTGGAACGGCTGGAGAAAGAACATGAATTTCGCACTGCGGGCTCCTCTGACAACAGATTATAGGAAAAAATCACAAGCCAAATATTAGCCCCTAACAAGACAGACAAATTACATTGATATTTATATAGGACTAACAATAAAAGGCCTGTAGAAGGTTACCAGAGCTCTGCTTCATATAGCACAGATTATGATTAATTACAGATTCAAACCTTTGTTGCAAGAGATCAGAGCCTTTTGCCCTTAGGAGGGAAAAAGATGAATGTAATTTCTTCTTCTGACACTCCTCCCTCTTTCCACTGTGGCACAGAAACACCACAATACTCATCTGTCTTCATTTCTCTTAAGTGCCCAGGGAAAAGGAACAAAGGCTTGAACTACAGAGTTGCAGCTCCCACTTGTGAAGCTCCAGCTGACTTGGTGGAACAAACCATAAAACTCACAGGTCTGGGATTTATGCTGAGTCCCAGGAGCACAAATCCCTCTGGGTGTGAGAAAAGCTGTGGATGAGGGCTGAGCCTGCTGTGTGCTCGTGGGTGTCAGGAACTGCCAATCAAGGGTGTAAAAACAACAGGGCACACAGAGAGAGGTCAGGCACTGATCCGGAAGGATGGAGAAGATAATTGGATCTTATCTGCATCTGCTCTGAGCAACTGCTGCCAGCCTGCCTGGACTGTGGGGGAGATGAGGTTCACCCCTGTGTCACTGTTTCACAGACAATTCTTGTGTTCCAGGATTTCCAACAGACCAAAAGAGAATAAGACAGGACAAGGGTGAGGCTATCCTAATTACAGCCAAGGCTGGTCAGAGAGGTCCCTAAATGGCCTTGGAACAGGGGGAGGTTTTGCCATTCACCTTCTGGGCCCTAGGTTTGTCCTAATCCAGGACCAAGGTGGGAGAAAGCTAGAAGAAGAGCAAACAATGTGAAAAACGCATCACTGATTATGGGGGACAAACACAGAAAAAAGAACAGGGGATGTGAGAAGGAAATATTTGCAAATGGCTTGAGAGGGCACTGGAGGAAAATGTGGTACCAAGACTCTGAATTCCTTCTGAAGGACAGAAATTGAAAAACAAAACAAAAGGATGAGATCCCAACATGAATCCTCGCTTCTTTTCCTTGTGGCCTCAGCAAATCTCACTCTGCTGCCACCTGCCAGGGGCCTTGGGATGTTCCACCAGAGACAGCCATCACATTATCAGGGCCCCTGAAGCCTGAAAGACACAATAAACAGCCAGTGCTGGTGTATCAGCATCCCATGGGCCATGGGACTCCTCATCCCGTGTGTCACATCCTCTGTGTATTCCAAAGAGCACACGGCGCCCAGGCACTGATGTTTGCAGAAAGGAGCTCTGGCTGTGGAGCTGCTCTGGGGGCTGTGCTGGCCCAGCCCCAGGGAGGTGTCTGTGCTGAGATTCCGCTGGATCTGCTCACACACGAGCAGGAAGCAGGGAACTGTGTCTCCTTTTCCAATCTAGACACTCCCTGACACAGCAAATGCATTCCTAGTACTGTTTGTCCCTTTCCTGATCTGTCTCACTCTAGTCTTGTTTTGTTGCTGACTGGTCTGGGGATTTTTCTAACCTGGCTTTGCTTTTGGGAGAGGGTTTGTTGGGTGGTCTTATTACAGGAGAACCAATTGCCTCATGTAATTTTGTTTGCCACCACCTGTGGTCCCAGGGTGGGCAGAGCCAAAGCCCAACTCTCTGTGTGCACAAAACCCAGCCTGGAAGCACAGGGCTGTGCTCATTCCTGCTCTGTAAGGTCCTGAGCTGAACGGGCTGCATTTCATCCACCTCCAGGGCACAGCAATGGGATGTTCCCCCCAGAAAAGGTGCTGATGTAAACACCAGCTGAGGGCTCAGAGCTCAGAGGTTGCATGGATGGCACTTTTGCCATCAAGAATTTATTTTTCCCTGTTGGAACAGGGAAAGAAACTTCTTATACTGAGAAGCAGAGATGTTGAAATGAGCATCATCACCCACGAGAGAGCAGCTTTTATGGGCTATGAAAACAGCACTGAAGGGCAGATATTTGGAGAAAGGCAGCTCCTCAGGGCTCTGGTCCTGAAGGGCACCCATCTGCAGGGAAGCCCTTAAAACCAGGTCGAGTTTTCCTCTTTATCCTTGGACATTACTCCAGACTTTCACACTGCCTTCACCAGGCACAGAATGGTTTAGCTCCACCTGTCTAATGGGGTTGCTTCCAGTGGGTTTTACAGGCAGCTCCATAGGTGCCAGCACAGACAATTCCAGGTGAATGCCCCTATCAAGGGTTTTTAAATTTGCGCCAAGGAGTCATTTCCTGAGGAGAACAGGAGTGGAAAATAACAGAATCCAGCTATGGTGGGGAGAGGAGCTTTGGGACTAGGCGTTACAACCTGCAGTTATCCCAAAGGAAACACAAATTACTTAAATAATGGGGTTTTCTACATCTTAAGTTTTTGGTAGAATTCATCCTTAGTTCTGTGTATGCCCAGTCAGTGCAATGGTGTTGCTGCCCAGAGGAGAGGCTCAGAGACACTGTGACACTTTAGTAATAAAAACCTTTCCCATTTACCAGTTTCTGAGAAAGCTCTGGTGCTTCAGAGCTTGTTCTCCAACAGAACAGCCAAATATGGAAAATCCTGACTGTGAGCTACGTCCCAACAGCTCCAGGAGAGCTTTAATTTCAGTAGGTTCAGGGACAAAATACAACATTATCTCGTACTGTTCCTCTCTGTGTTCAGCTATTCAGGACTTACAAAAGGCTTTTTCAATGTTCTACATAGAGATGTGTAATGGACAAATTTACAAGTCAGAATACCTAGAAATTGTAGGGAAAAAAAATACAGAAACTTTTAAATTAGTTGCTGTAATTGCACACAGAAAACACCCCACAAATTTGCGAAATCATTCATGCCCTTTCCACTTTAACAGGTCACTCACTGCCTGTTGCACTCGTGCATCAAGCTTGTATTAAATGAAAAACACCTAAGACTTGAGAGATTCTCCCAGTTCTGTATCTCAAACTCAGCAGTTGCTTTGTTACAGATTCACTCAGGGCAACACCCTGGAAAGGGAAGGCAGTGGTGGTGCCCTGGGCTGTCACAGGCACCGATTTTCCAGCATGGAAGCATGAGAACGCAAGCTGCTTTTAAAATAGCTGGCAAAAATCCTGGAGTAGGACTAAATGTGGCCTTTTTATTATTTTGATTATGTAGTATGCAACATAAAAAATTTTATCTGCATTTGAATAGAAATGCTTATATAAAATCTAAATATTTAATGTAATACAATATAATAATTAGATATGTAGAAGTTTGTCTCAAATATACAAATCATAGTGTATGCTACAACTACTTGGAATGTAAAGCCCAGCAGACTGTAAGAGTGCATATATCCACACATTAAGAGGATTTTTATCAACAGATTGGGAGAATATTCCTAATTCAGAACATTAAAGGGAAGTCAGGACACACTCTTGGTGACTCCAGGCAGATATTTGGGATTCTCCTGTGCAGCTGTGCCTGGAAGGGACTCCACATACAAAGCCCTTGGGGTAACCTGGGCTTTCAGGAGGCTGTGACAGGGCTCTGTGGGATGGATCCTGGGGGTCTCTTGGACTTTCCTTCTGGGCTGATTCTGTCTCTGAAGGAGAACCAGTGCCTCAGAACACTGGAAGAACAGAACCTGGTGCTGAAAAATCGTGTGTCTCGCTTATTTTCTGCTCTTAAGCAGGCAGAGCAGCTCTGTTCTGAGCACAGGAGACAAATGCAGGAGCTCAACACCCAGGTAAGCTGTGCAGTGGCATCCTCTTCTCCAGGGACACACAGCAGCACCTTTGGCTTGGAGGCCCCAACCTCTTTCCCCTCCCGGCAGCATCCACAGCTGCCGTGTTCTGCCCGGGGCTGCTGCGGCACCCTGAGGCCCAGGCTGGATGTGGTGTCTGCTGCCGAAGTTTTACACTGTTCTCTCCCAGCTCCCAGCAGGAAATCTGGGAGAGGAAGCAGCAGCAGCCTCCTCTGGAGCTTCTCCGTCCCTCTGTTAGCAGTGTTGTCCCAGACAGAGTTGGTGCCTGTGCCAGCACTGAGCAATGTGGGGACACAGAGGTGGCTGTGGCAGGCTGGGCAGGGCACTTCCAGCGCAGCCATCTCAGCTGCTGTTCAGAGCTGCAGCCTCAAGGATGCCCATTGCCTCCCTTTCCCTCTTTTCTCTACATTTGTCTCCATTGGAATCCTTGCTTCTGTGCCTTCTGGTTTTGGCATGGTTTTTGCCTGAAATAATTTCTCCTTTGTTCCTCTCCCTACTGTGCACTCTGCGGCCTCAGGAGCAGCCCTGTCCCTGAGGCTCTGTGCATCCTTCTTCCAGATGCAGGCCATGCTGCTGGCAGAGATAGAGAAGACAGCTCAGCAGGCAACTGAAGAGAAGCAGCTGATGGAAACTGAGGTGTCTGAGCTGTGTGTGAGGCTCCAGAGCTCTGAGGAAAGAGCAGAGGCCATGGCCACACAGTGTAAGGCCATGGAGCTGGGGCTGAGGAAGACACAGGCTCAGAGGGACAATCTCAGAGCCTACAATCAGGAGCTGCTGAAACAGCTGGAGCAAATTGAGCAAGGTACAGCTTCTCCTCCCCCAGCCACTGCCCCACCCTGTCCCACCTGCAAGGATCTTGCTGATGCCTTGCAGAGGAAAAGTGCCCAGAGATGGCAGAGGGGAAAAACAGCCAGCAGGAAATTTATCCCTCCAAGTGCCAGTGAAAGCTTTTTTCTTGAGAAAGATGCTGTGGCTTGCAGAGCCATCTGGCTGTGCTAGGGCTGATCCTGGGCTGGAGCCTTTCAGTTGCTATGTCTCTGTTAAGGAGCTGCAGCTGGATGCCTCAGCTTGATTCCCCCAAATTCCAGGCCCTGCCAGAGGCTCCAGGCCATTGGCCTCTCTGAGCAGGGCTGCACAGGCATCCCCTCTCCTTTGTCCCTCTTGGATTGCTCCCTCTGCACAAGACCAAGAGCAAACACACTTTCCTATCCCTCTGAACCTTGCCCCTTTCATTCTTGCTTTTTACTCTGCCTGGAAGTTTCCTTCATTTCTGTCAGCTTTGGAGCCCTTGTGTGCTCAGGGCCTGGCAAACACCGGCAGGCAGAGAAGACAGTGCTGTTGTCTCTGCAGGATGCACATCAGTGTGTCTTTGCTTTGCTTGTCCCCTTCTCCTTCTCCTTCCCTGCTGCAGATTGGTGGAAGACACAACTCAAGCACATTTCTCGAGAAAGGTCCCTGGAGAAAGAGGCCACTGAAAGACAGGAAGAGGCTGTGACTCTTCGTCAGGAGGTGGCATCTCTGAAGAGGAAATTGGAGAACCTGGAGAAGGAAAGGAAGGATGTGCTGGTAAGATTGGCAGATGCCACAGAGGGCCAATTCCTAGCTATGTTTGGACCTTGTGGTGATAGTTCTAAGGAGCAGACTTTTTCAGTTAAACTTTTCTAACTGCATTCTTCTGAATAAGGAGGAGATGTTGTAGTCATGCCAAAGGCAGTTAATGCTGAAGCTGCTGATTTTCCTCCATGCTGGGCTTCTGTGCCCTAGAAGCTTTAGTTCTCAATCTCCACACTCTCTCTATGGCCATTGCATGGTTTGGGGAATTCCTTGTGTCCAAACCCATGTTCATATTTCTAAATATCTGAAAGGGAAGGTGAGAAGACCAAGACTGCTGTTAATAGAAAGGTGTTTGGCCTTGGCCATCTGAGAGCAGCCAGTGGGGAGAGAAGAGAGGAAAGCCGAGTGCTGATCCACACCAGGACGTGTGCCTGCAAGGGGAGAACTCGTCCTGAGTGGCAGCAGAGAATGACAGACTGATCTGGCCATTGCTGCTCCAAGAGAGGGCAGTGGGGCTCTCGGGGATGGGGCCGTGGAAACTCTACACAGGAGAGGTGGAACAGCACTCCTGGCAGCCCAGCCCCAGGGAAGGAAATGCTGGGGGTGTTTGCTCTTGCCTTCCTCCCTGATGGAGAGCATGTCCTCGTGGCACTGCCTAAATCCTGCTTAGCATGGACTTGAAATCCTGGCTGCAGTTCTGGGAGCTCCTGCCCAAAGGAGCGCTGGAGTGGAGCTGCAAGAGGTCGGGGCAGGGCGGAAAGGAAGCTGGGACAGGGAGCGAGGGGCAGTCTGTGCCCTGTTCCTGTCCCTGCAGCAGCAGCAGCGCCCGCGGGGTCTGTGCCACCGCCGCCTGAGGCGCCGCGCGCTGGCAGCGCATGCGCAGACCCGCGCGCAGCTCCCACTGGACCCGCGCGCGCACAGCGCTCAGCCAGCGCGCCCCGAGCACGCGCGGCGGCGCGGTGACGTCAGTGCGCGCCCCGCCTCCTAGTATAAAAGCGGCGGCGGCTGGCGGGCGCCATTGTGGTGCGCCAGGCCCGGCCGTGCGGAGCCGGCCCGCAGCGCCTCCGCCCTTCACGCCGCCAGCGCTCTCGCTCCTTCTCTCTCTTTCTCTCTCTGTCTCTTTTCCTTTCCCTTCCTCTTCCTCCTCCTCCTTCTCTCCTTTCCTCTCCCTCCCCTCCTCTCCCCCACCGCCGCGGACATGCCGCGCGTCTACATCGGCCGCTTGAGCTACCACGTCCGGGAGAAGGACATCCAGCGCTTCTTCAGCGGCTACGGCCGCCTGCTCGAGGTCGATCTCAAAAACGGGTGAGCGCCGTTGGTCCGTCCGCGCTGCCGGGGCCCCGGGCCGGCCGGGCCCGTCCATGTCGCGGCCGTGCCGCGTGGCGCCGGCGCAAGATGGCGGCGGGGGAGCGGAGCGGAGCGGCTCGCACGGGGCTCTGTGCGCCCGCCGCCGCCTCACCGCGCCTTTCTTCCCTGCCCAGCTACGGCTTCGTGGAGTTCGAGGACTCCCGCGACGCCGACGATGCCGTGTACGAGCTGAACGGGAAGGACCTGTGCGGGGAGCGGGTTATCGTGGAGCACGCCCGCGGCCCCCGCCGCGACAGGGACGGCTACAGCTACAGCAGCCGCAGTGAGTCCGGGCCCGGCCCTCCCCGAGGGGCTCGGGGCGGCGGCGGGCAGGGCCGGGGGCAGGCAGGGCTCGGCTGGCACCGAGCCCCGGGTTCGGGTGGGGGAGGTCGTTAGCGGGGGGTACCCGGTGCACCGCTGGGGCTGCAGCGTTTTCCTCGGCACCAGCGGTGCCCTCGGGTATCCCGGAGCAGTTGTGGCTGCCAAATCGCGGCCTTCTAGAAAGGGTTTGCTCTGCTAATTAACGGCTCCAGTATTCCTGGGAGCATTTAGATGTGACAGTGATGTTGCATCAGTAATGTTAGTGTATAAATTATCGTTGTGTAACGGGGGCCCAGCTGTGAACTTTGACGTGATTGATTCGGTTGGATATATGGGAGGGGCGGGGGGAGGTTTTGGAGCAGGAATCTGTTGTGCTGAAGGGGGGGCGGGTTTTGTAAATATTTCTGTGCTCAGCTCGCTTGTGTAGCTTCTTAAGCCGAGCTGTGTAGAGCTTGAACGGCCTAGTACTGTAACTAAAAGTACTAAGGTTGATTTTTCGTTGGTGTTTGGAATCGTGGTGTTGGGGGGGGTGGGTTTTTGTCTTTTTAAAAAAATCAAATGTATGTTGTTTTAAAATTGTTGCATGTTCAATTCAAACTTTTTAACAAGTCCTTGATGTTTCAATTTAAAAGTGACCAGTGGGGCTGAGGCTGTGTCCACTGAGGCTAAGATGACTGCCTTTCCTGGCCATGGCTTTTCCATACATTGTGTGACCCTTGCCCTATGACCCTTTGGCTGACCTTACCGGAAGCCATGACGACAGCAGCCTTTTGCCATTAGACGCAGGGTGATGGTGAGGATTCCAAGGGTTAGACAAAACTGGTTAAACTGAACTAGGTGACTGTTACCTTGCGTGTTTTGTGGCCAATCCACCACCAAAAACCTCATACTGTGATGTAAGTACTTAGTGTAACTAGTAAACGTTTTTGTAAAATGTAGAAATGCATGTAATCAGTTAAGTTTTATATTTTACAATGTTCTGTAAAATAAAACTTAGCAAGGTGAATCTAATAAGGAGCAGTCACTCTCTAACAGATCTTAGGAGCACAGACTTGTAGGATGTTAGTCTGTTTGATTTGCCATTAATATAGATCATGGCAAAATTGCAAAGTTTATTGGAGGCTTAGCGAAATTAAGTCCTACTCCAGTAAATATGACTGTTAAACTAACTTTTTCAGAACATTGAGCTTCCTTCGTGCTAGGAGACAACCTAACTTTGTTTCTTTGTACAATCAAGGTGGGGGTGGTGGCGGATATAGCAGTCGGAGACAGTCGGGACGAGATAAATACGGACCGCCCGTTCGTACAGAGTTCAGGCTGATTGTTGAGAACCTTTCCAGTCGCTGTAGTTGGCAGGATTTAAAAGTAGGTATTGATGTTCTGTGTGGAGTCTGTTGTGAATATCAGGAAGCAATGGCTTCCTTTATTAGCAGTGTTGATTTTGTTGCAGTAGAATAATTTGAAAGTGTGCACATTGCGTGCTGCTGGCACAGCCCCCCCGTTCTGTAGCTGCCCTGTGCTCCCTGCAGGATTTCATGAGGCAGGCTGGGGAGGTGACCTATGCAGATGCCCACAAAGAACGTACAAATGAAGGAGTGATCGAGTTCCGGTCATACTCGGATATGAAGCGTGCCCTGGACAAGCTGGATGGCACAGAGATAAATGGCAGGAAGATCAGGCTGGTGGAGGACAAGCCACGCTCCAGCCACAGGCGATCCTACTCCGGCAGCAGGTCCAGGTAACTCGGGGGACACGCTGGTCACTGCAGCAAAAGTGGTTACAATCAGCCTGGGATGGGTGCCCTACCTGCAGCAGTTACCTTCAGCTCATGGCTTAGGAATAGGAGGAGGCCTCAGTGTAGAAGGAAATATTTTACATCATACAGCAGAGCCAGGTTTGAGCAGTTTTTCCACGTGTGAAACCTCAGATGTGATTCACTAACAGTATGTTGAATCCACCCTGGTAGGACCACCCTTGCTCTTGAGAAGTTCTGTAGCAGCTTTTCTCTGTTAGATTATGCTGCTAGATAGCACAGTGTATTAGGTGCAGTCAGGAAGATTTTCCTGTGAGGATAGATTTCCCAGAGAAGCTGTGGCTGCCCCTGGATCCCTGGAAGTGACCAAGGCCAGGTTGGACAGGGCTTGGAGCAATCTGGTGTAGGAAATAGATTTGTAGAGAAGTTTTAAAGTTTAATAGAAGGTTTATATAATATGTATGTAATCACCTGGGGTAGTGGAAGGTGTCCCTGCCCATGGCAGGGGCTGGAACAAGGTGATGTTTAAGATCCCTTCTATCATATACTTGATGATGGAGGGCACAACCAGGCCAAGAGAAAGGGAATGACATTTTAAATGTCTGCAGGTCACGATCCAGGAGACGGTCTAGAAGCAGAAGTCGGAGGAGTCGGAGCAGCCGCAGCAGATCCCGCAGTGTCTCCAAAAGCCGTTCCCGGTAAGTGCCTCAGTGTTAGCGCTGCCAGTGCAGGAGCTCCCTCACTGACAGGTGTTTACAGCTGCTGGGAGTGCAGTGCAGGCCATGCAGAATAAACTCTCTCTCTCTTTGAAAGATCTAAATCCAGGTCACGAAGCAAAGACCGCTCCCGTTCCCGATCGAAAAGCAGGAAGTCCAGATCAAAGAGCAAATCCAAACCCAAGTCTGACAGGGGTTCACGCTCGCACAGCAGATCCAAGGAGAAGTCTGAGAAGTCCCGGTCCAGATCCAGGTCCAGGTCTCGATCTCCCAAAGAAAATGGTAAAGGGGATGCTAAGTCTAAGTCCAGGTCCAGGAGCAGGTCTCGCTCCAACTCGCCGCAGCAGCAGCCGTCTGCAAAGGCTCGCTCCGAGTCGCCGCCCAAAAGAGCTGCGTCCAGGTCCCGCTCCAGGTCTCGCTCAAAGTCCCGCTCACGATCGAGATCCAGTTCAAGAGATTAGGACTACAAGTCTCCTCTCACCTTGCACACTTACGGAACATTTTCCTACCTGTCAGGCCATTAGTGTTATGTTAGTACTTCAGAAGTTGGGTTTTTTGCTCGCAGGAGTGAATGGCCTAAGAACTAAGGCATAAAGGTTTAATTTGTATCCAAGATTTGACAATACCAGGTGGAATGGTGGTACAAAGCAGGAAGAGTCCCCATTTTGTAGAAATTGAGCTGAAAGTTTGATTTTATAGCATTTCTGCAGGAGTAACTTAACTACTCTTTAATGCAAAGTGGTTTTTATATTAAAAATAAACTGAATATAAACAGGCTTAAATATGGGCTTTTTGAAAGTATCCTTTTTTCCTATTTTTTTCATGGCATTAGAACTATGGGTGTCATTAGTTTCATAGGTTTCAGCTTGCTGCCA